GAACCGTCTTCGTCTTTGTCACACTCTTTCTGCTCTTGGCTCAACCGGCTTGCACTGCTTCTCTTCCTCCTCCTCGCTCCTCCCTCCTTTCCTTCTCCTTATAAATCGTTCCTCCCTGTCGCCCCCCCGAGGCCGGTCGAAGAAGCGGGCCGGGCCTTTCGTCCGAAATTTTATCGCCATTTATGATCTTGAAGCTTGAAATTCGAAACTCGTAACAGTTTCACGGATGGAGGGCGGTGGTGTTCAACGTGTGGTTTACCTTTTAGCGCAACACGCATTTCGTCTCAAACAGTTGCAAACGCTTCACTGATGGAGGCGAACCGTATTCAAAATGCGGTTATCGCCTTAGCGTCGCGCGCATTCGCTGTAAATGCTTGTAAGAACTTCACAGTTTGAGGGCGGCTGCTTTTCAAACTATGGTTTTCCATTTAGCGCCGCGCACACTCGCTTTAAGAGTCTACAGCCGTTTCGTACATTCTCGTTTTTAACATTATCGAATGATTTTTTGGCACGTTGTCGGGCTCTCAGGGCACAACACTTACGTTGATTCGTGGTGCAGAAATTCAGGAATCGGCGTTCTGGCACGAATCGGGATTTCCAGAACCCAACAGGCTCGGTGATTCGCGGCGTTGAAGTCCCAGGCATGGTGTTTTGGCACAGTCCAGGATTTTCAAACGGTTGCATTCCAACGGGGCACATTTTGCAGTGAATATGATTGCCTTTTTAGAAGCCTCCGAAGACGCCCTTGCGCGTGTGCCGTCGCGAGAATCCTCTGCAAAAAAAAAGACGAAGTGCAGACGCGCGCGTCGTCGCGCGCGTATGCCGAAAACCTTCAAAACCCATCGGTTTCGGAAGGATTTAAAAACGTGTGTCCAAAAAACCTACAAAAACACAAGGTTTCGCAACACGGATGTTCAACAAAAGCGCGCGCGCGCTCTTGCGTCGTCGTCGTCGTCGTCGTCGTCGCCGTCCTCCCTCCTCCCGCGTCGTCGTCGTCGTCGCCTACGTCGTCCTCTGTCTTTCCTCGTGTTCGTCGTCGTCGTCTTCTTTGGCGTCGTGGTCGTTTCCGTCGTCGTTGTTGCCGTGGTCGTCCTTCCCCCTCCTCCCTCGTCGTCGTCGTCGTCGTCCGTCGTCGGCGTCTCGTCGTCGTCCCTCCTATTTCGTCGCCGTCGTCGTCGTCGCCGGTGTCGTCGTCGTCTTCCCTCCTCCCTCGTCGTTGTCGTCGTCGGCGCCGCCGTCCTTCCTCCTTCTTCGTCGGTCGCGTCGTCGCCGTCCTCCCTCCTCCCTCGTCGTTGTCGTCGTTGTCGTCGTTGTCGCCGTCGTCGTCCTTCCTCCTCCCTCGTCGTCGTCTTCGTTGGCGACGTCGTCGTCTTCGTCGTCGTCGGCGTCGGCGTCGTTGTCGTCGTCGAAGTCGTCGGAGACGTCGTCGGTGTCGTCGTAGTCGCCGTCGTCGTCGTCGTCGTCGTCGTCGTCGGCGGCGTCGGCGTCGGCGTCGTTGACGTCGTCGTCGTCGTCGTCGGTGTCGTCGTTGTCGTCGTCGAAGTCGTTAGAGACGTCATCGGTGTCGTCGTTGTCGGTGTCGGCGGCGCCGTCGTCGTCGTTGTCGCTGGCGTCGTCGGCGTCGGTGTCGTGGCCAAGTGCCATGTGGTACTTGCGGGTGGGAGGGTGGGATGTTTGCACGAGCAGTGGAGAGGACAGCTTCAAGACGGTCAAATATTACTTTCCTCCTTAGTATCCTTTTCCCCCTCCCCCTCCTCCTGCTGCTTTTCTTGCTGCTCCCCCTCATATTCCTCCCCATCCTCCTCCGCTGACTTCGAGGGCGCAGCCGCTCTCGAGCTGATGTCATTTTGCTGGTGCTGCTGGATCAGCGGGTTCAGACTTGAGGAGGTGAGTTTCTCCTTCCTTGAATTGCGTGTTTCTGTTTCTCTCTCTTACCAGTGCGGATTGTATTCCGCGCAATGCAGGTTTGTTGAATTTGGGGCATCGGGCTGAGGGTGGCTGCGGCCGGCGGCGGCCGGCGGCGGCGGGAACGCCCGACGAGAAACAGGTTTCTCGTCGGGCACTTGGATGCTGTTTTGAAGCCCTCGGGAGCCGTTCTGGGGCCTCTTATGGCTTCGTTGGGTCTTCTTGGGGGCCTCATGGGGCCTCCTGGGTGTTTCTCGAGGCCTCCCGGGACCTTCTTAAGGCGGAATGCCCCAGGATCCCGCAGGATGGATCCGTTGGAAGCGTGTCACCGGTGCGGCGCGGTCCGGGTGGCTTCACAATCCTTCTGTGTTTAACGTATGTGTTTATATGTTGGTCCTCTCCTGGGGCTTCCTAGGGCCTCCTGGAGCTTCCTGGGGCTTCCTGAAGCTTCCTGCGGCTTTCAGGGGCTCCCTGGAGTCTCCTGGAGCCTCCTGGGGCCTCCCGGGGCTCCCCGGGGCTTCCTGGGACCTGGTGCCTTCAGAGGCTGTCTTGGCCCCTCCTGGTGCCTCCTGGAGCCGTCTTGGCCCTCTGCTGGGGCGCGAATCCATTGTGTTAAACGTATGTGCCAATATATTGGCCTTCTCTTGGGGCACGAATCCATTGTGTTTCACGTATGTGCCTATAGATTTTGCCTACTCTTGGGGCACGAATGTTTAGTGTTTTACGTGCGTGCTTCTATATATATATATATATATATGTGTATGTGTGTATTGGCCGTCTCATGGAGCGCGAATCCTTAGCGTGTTACGTGATGCCTAGAGATTTGCCTTTTTGGGGGGTGCGAGTCCTTTGTGTTTTACACATGTGCGTAAAGGTTGGCCCTCTCCTGGGGCACGAGTCCTTTGTGTTTCACGTGTATGCCTATACACTGGCCCTTTCCAGGGGCATGAATCTTTCGTGTTGTACGTATTTGCTTATAGATTTGCCCTCCCCTGGGGCACGAGCCTTGCGTGTTTTACGTATGCGCCTATGGATTTGTCTTCTCCTGGGGTACGAACCCTTCGTGCTTTACGTATGTGCCTATCGATTCGCCCTCTTCTGGAACACGAATCATTCGTGTCTTACGTGTGTGCATATAGATTGGCCTTTCCCTGTGGCACGAATCCTTTTGTGTTTAACGTATGTGTCAATGGATCGGCCTTCTCTTGGAACACGAGTCCTCTTAGTGTTTTACGTATGTGCCTATAGATTGACCCTCTCCTAGGACGCGAATCTTTCGTGCTTCACGTGCGTCACGAGCTTCACCAGGCGTCAGGGGAGTAGAGGCTTCAGGCCGAATAGAGGCTTCACGAATTTCACCGGGCGTCAGGGGAATAGAGGCTTCAGGCCGAATAGAGGCTTCACGAGCTTCACTGGGCGTCAGGGGAATAGAGGGTTCAGGCCGAATAGAGGCTTCAAGAGCTTCAATGGGCGTCAGGGGAACAGAGGCTTCAGGCCGAATAGAGGCTTCACGAGCTTGAATGGGCGACAATGGAATAGAGGCTTCAGGCCGAATAGAGGCTTCACGAACTTCACAGGGCGTAAGGAGAATGGAAGCTTAAGGCCGAAGAAGGGTTTCACGAGCTTCAATGGGCGTCAGGGGAATAGAGGCTTCAGGCCGAAGAAAGGTTTCACGAGCTTCACAGGGCGTCAGGGGAATAGAGGCTTCAGGTCGAATAGAGGCTTCACGAGCTTCACCGGGCGTCAGGGGAATAGAGGCTTCAGGCCGAATAGAGGCTTCACGAGCTTCAATGGGCGTCAGGGGAACAGAGGCTTCAGGCCGAATTGAGGCTTCGCGAGCTTCAATGGGCGACAATGGAATAGAGGCTCCAGGGAGTTTCAGTGGGCGTCAGGGGAATGCAGACTTCAGGCCGAATAAAGGTTTCACGAACTTCAATGGGCGTCAGGAGTATAGAGGCTTCAAGCCGAATAGGCGCGTCTAGGGTCGCCACCCGACCAGTGCGTCGCAATTCGTAGGCCGAATAGAGGCGTCATGCGCCGAGTACAAGCTCCAGGCCGAATAGAGGCTTCAGGCCGAATAGAGGCTTCACGAGCTTCAATGGGCGTCAACGGAATAGAGGCTTCAGGCCGAATAGAGGCGTCACGAGCTTCACCAGGCGTCAGCGGAATAGAGGCGTCACCGCAGCTTCTTGGGGGAATAGCGTCTTCAAATAGCGTCTGCGGCGCCGGCTCGAACCGGGACCCCCCCCGGGTCAGGCCCTTGTATATTTATCGATATGTATATATGCATCTATATATACATATCGATATGTATGTGTATATATATATATTATATACATATATATGTATATCGAAATATGTGTGCGTATGCTTGCATGCATGCGTGCATGTTTGCATGTACGGGTGCATGTATGTATTATTGTATGTGTATATATATATGCATGTATGTATTGTGTATGGATGTATGCTTGTATGCACGTATGTATGTGTGCATGCATGTATGCATGGATGGATGGATTGGTGTATGCGTGCATGCACGTATATATTGATGTGTGCATGCATGCATGTTTGTGTATGTAGGCATGTATTTGTGTATGGATATATGGTTGTATGTATGTATGTGTAGATGTATGTATGGAAGTATGAATACATGTATGTATGTATGCTTGTTCGTGTATGAATGATTCCCCACATCCTGAGTGGGGTTCTTGTTCCCCACATCCTGAGTGGGGTTCTTGTTTTCCCCACATCCTGAGTGGGGTTCTTGTTTTCCCAGAACACCCTCTCCTTCCCACCCACCTCCCGCTCCATCTTCCATACAGCACAATGTTACCATACCATAGTTCCACACACACCATACCATACCATAGTTCCTACGCTACACTTACAATACATTACCATACATTACATACCATACCCACACCATACGTTACCATGCCGGTACCGTACCCACCATACCATACCATACCATCCCATACCATACATAACGAACACCGATATTACTACCATCCCGTACCTGTACCATACCATAACCAATGGCGTACATAGGCAACCATACACATATTCACCGATTGACACACCGTAACCATACATAC